AGGTGATTGGAGGAAGGTGTAGGGGAGATGTCAGAGGTAGGTTCTTCACACAGAGAGTGGTGGGCGTGTGGAATGCGCCACCGGCAGTGGTAGTAGAGTCAGATACTTTAGAGACTTTAAAGCGACTCCTGGGTAGGCACATGGAGGATAGTAAAATGTACGGTATGCAGAGTAAATTGATCTTAGGAGGATAATAGGTCGGCACAACATCGTGGGCCAAAGGGCCTGTACTGTGCTGTACTGTTCTATGTTCTATGTTCTACGACCTCAGATTTGACCCAAGAGTAAGAGTGCCCAATTTCACCTCCGTATCAATGCGTCAGCTTCAGTCTGCCTCACCTCATCTGCTGCTCAGCCTTTATTAATAAACCCTCATCCACGCCTCTATCACTTTGAGACTTGACTCTTCCAATGCATCTCAATTGCTCTCTCATGTTCTACCCTCAGTAAAGTTTGTACCAAACTTTGCCTTGGCTGCAGTAGCAACCAGGCTTATAAATACAAAATAGAAATTGCTGGAGAAACTCAGCAAATCCAGCAGTACCTGTGAAGAGAAAGCAGAGTTTGCGGTTCAGTGACCCTTCCTCAGAACCTTTTCTTTTATCTATATAAACAGTGTGGTTATGAGATCAGGTCAGGATAGGCAGTAAATGCTGGCCCAGTCAGAGACGGCTATATCTCTTGAACATTTTTAAAAAATTTACTGTTTGGCCCTCTCCACTAAAGCAATGGGAAAAGGGAGGTGTAGACTTGCCAAAATGACATGAATGGGTTCTAAGAAATTAGAAGTTAAGGCTTTTGCCTAGACAGGATTCAGGGTGACCTGATAGAGCTGATCAGGATTATGAAGGACTCGAACAAGGTAGATTGTGCAAGGCTGGAAGAACACAGCAGGCCAGGCAGCATCTGGAGGCAAGGAGTAGTCAACGTTTTGGGTATTACCATTCTCCAGGACTGAATGTGGGGGTAGGGGGAGCTGCAGGTAAAGTGGCGTAAGGGATGGAGGCAGAATGGTGGTGATAGATGGGCACTGGTGGTAGGTACGACCTGGTTGGTCGATGGGAAGGATGAATTGGTTGGTGGCTGGAAGGGAGGGTCAGAAGGTGGAATGGAAGGGAGGAAGTGGGGCTGGAAGGGGAGGTGGAGGCTGGGTGGGAAGGTTATTTGAAATAGGAGAACTCAATGTTAAGTCCTTTGGGCTGTAGGGTGCCCAGGTGGAAGATAAGGTGTTGTTCTTCAAATTTGCGTTGTGAGTCGCTGCAACATTGGAGGAGGCTGAGGACGGACATGTTGGAGGGGGCGTGGAACGGGGAGTTGAAATGGGCAGTGATCGGGAGGTTAGGTTGGCCGTTGCGGTCCAGGTGAAGGTGCTCGGCAAAACGTTTGGTCTCACCAACGTAGAGGAGACATTGTTCAAGGTTGTTTCCTTGTTAAGGCAATAATATCCATGCTTAGATTTTGGATAGTCGTAAAAACTGGACAGGAGAATGGAATCATCGGGTCGTACAGCACCAAAACAGACCCTCGGACCCAATTCGTCCACACCAACAAGATGCCCTAAATTTATCTAATCCCATTTGCCAGCATTTGGCTCATATTTCTCTAAACCCTTCCTATTCATATACCCATCCAGGTGCCTTTAAATGTTGTAATTGTACCAGCCTCCACCACTTCCTCTGGCAGCTCGTTCCATACACGTACCACCCTCTGTGTGAAAAAGTTTCCCCTTAGGTCCTTTCTAAATCTTTCCCCTCTCACCTTAAAACTATGCCCTTTAGTTTTGGACTCCCCTACCCTGGGGGAAAAGACCTTGTCTATTCACCATATCCATGCCCCTCATGATTTTATAAACCTCTATAAAGTCACCTCTTATCCTCCCATGCTCCAGGGAAAATAGCCCCAGCCTATTCAGCCTCTCCTTATAGCTCAAACCCTCCAAACCTGGCACCATCCTCGTAATTCTTTTCTGAACCCTTTCAAGTTTAACATCTTTCCTATAGCAGGGAGACCAGAATTGTGTGCAGTATTCCAAAAATAGCCTAACCAATGCACTGACAAATAAAGGGAGGCATACCAAATGCCTTCTTCACTATCCTGTCTACCTGCAACTCCACTTTCAAAGAACTATGAACCTGCACTGAGAGGTTTCTTTGTTCAGCAACACTCCCCAGGACCTTTCCATTAAGTGTATTAGTCCTGCCCTGATTTCCGTTCTCAAAATGCAACAGCTCACATTTATCTGAATTAAACTCCATCTGCCACTCCTCAGCCCATTGGCCCATCTGATCAAGGTCCCGTTGTACTTTGAGAATAATCTTCTTCACTGTCCACTACACCTCCTATTCTGGGGTCATCTGCAAACTTACTAACCATACAAATCATTTCTACAAATGACAGAAAAGCAGTGGACCCAGCACCGATCCTTGTGGCACACTGCTGGCTACAAAGGTTTGTTTTTACGCAAAGAGTGGCCATACTGTTGAATTCTCTGCTGGAAGCTGATGACACAGAGTCAATGAGCACTTGTTCAAAGAATATTAGTTGGTTAAGAATTAAAGCGTGTTGGGGAGAGATGGTGAGCAGGATGCAAAAAGAACATGAAGGAGAGGGGTTTAAAAAAAAGAGGAGTTTTGAGAGGACAGTGGTGAGCAGGACTGGGCATTAGATTAAGTGGTTTGTGTGGAGGAAAATATAAGCTGAGACTGGAAGGGGTGGAATGGCCAGAATGTGCTGGAACATTCTATGATTTTACATTTGGCACAGGCAGTGTTTGTTCTATCCTGACTCAGACATTAGCAGCCCCAACAGATTAGGTATAGCTGATTCCCAGCCACAACAGCAACCTGCACTTGTGTAGTGCCTCTTGCAATATTTAAATCAAAAATGCAAACCCCTCCCAACACCACTGTTCAAAAGAATACACTGGAGAATCTACTTTGTGAACAGGTATTTGAGATCCTGCAGCAAGGAGGTGCTGGATTCGGGTGTGTGCTGTTCAGAGGCTCCTCGTGGAGGGTTTGGAACAAACAGAATGAGCAAGATGACGACCACCAGTCCTGCACACGGGGTCACCTGGGGAATTGAGCAAATCGAATGTATTGCCAATTTAAACATTTCAAACCAAATCAGAAATCAGTGTCAACGGTTGTTATTTTTAAATCCACAACTACAGGTAGAGCAGGATATTTCTGTGAAGGTGATTTAAACCTGGAGTGATGCCTGGTGCACAACTATCCCAGAAAGTACCCCCAGGAGCTTTGTCTCGAGTTTACAGTCCAGTTTGCCTCAGACGAGCTACCACGAGAGACGGAGCAGAATGAGCATCGTCGCTTGGGTAACTTGCTGTTGCTCCCACAAACCTAAAAGCAGAATCGAACACCCAATTCACTCAAGTTTTCCTCATTCCTGTTTTGCGAGTCTCACTTAGAAGACAATGTACGTGGCATTAAACAGACAACATGTAGCACACTTTTACATGAACATATCCATAGAAACGTGTTCCTTTTGACTGCTTTAGGACTGTGCCTGCACCACATTAGGCCCCGGCTCGGTGTTCACCAGCTGTAAGACTTATAAGCACTGCATGTTTGCAGAAGAGAAGGCAGACACAATGTCTACTGTCTCCCTCCCTCAATGTTGGGGCATCCTTACAGCAAACAGTTCACATAAGGAATGGTTTCATTTTTCGTACAACCCACATCACACAGTTAGACATTCAGAGGGAATGAAGGGTCCATTTCCTCAAGACTTTGCTGACAATAAAGAAAATAGTCAATAGCAAATCAGCAGCCAACATTCTTGATCTAATTCTACAGCCATGGAATATGACGAAGGAAGGGAAGCACTAATGTTATCTGTGAAACATCTCATTATGGCTTCGTCTTACTGCCAGGCTGCAGGAGAGAGCAAGATCATGTGACATTACATCATATCCCTTCTACTTGATGTTATGTCTCTCCCAGTTTCTACATTTGATATTAATGGAAATGACAGTTGAAGGAGATAGAATAAAGGCTGTCAATTTACAGATCAGTGCATTGAGTGTAGGAGTTGGGAGGTCATGTTGCGGCCGTACAGGACATTGGTTAGGCCACTTTTGGAATACTGTGTGCACTTCTGGTCTCCCAGCTACAGGAAGGACGTTGTTAAACTTGAAAGGGTTCAGAAAAGATTTCTGAGGATGTAACTGAGACTGGAAGGTTTGAGTTACAAGGAGAGGCTGAATAGGCTGGGACTGTTTTCCCTCGAGCATCAGAGGCTGCGGGATGACCTTATAGAGGTTTATAAAATCATCAGGGGAATAGATAGGGTGAATAGCCAAGGTCTTTTCCCCAGAGTGGGGGAGTCTAAAACTACAGGGGATAGGTTTTAACGGGAGAGGGGAAAGACTTAAAAGGGACCTGAGGGGCAACTTTTTCACGCAGAAGGTGATGTGTGTATGGTACGAGCTGCCAGAGGAAGTGGTGGAAGCTGGTACAATTACAATTCCAAAAAGATATTTGGATAAGTACATGGTTTAGAGGGATATGGGTGAAACACAGGCAAATGGGAATAGTTTAGTTTAGGAAATCTGGTCAGCATCAATATGTTCTGCAAAAGGGCCTGTTTCTGTGCTGTATGACTCTGCAGTTTTGGTCACCCCATCTAAGGGAGGACATGCATGCCATAGAGAGAGTTCAGCACAGATTCATCAGACTGATTCCAGGGATAGCAGCACTGTCCGATGAGGAGAGATTGAGGCCTACAGTTTAGAAGAATGGGAGGTAACCTTATTGAAAGTTACAAAATTTTAAAGGGCTAGATACAGGAAGGGCGTGGAAGGCGTGGAGATTAGGATTTCTAGAATCAGGAGGCACAGTCTCGGAATGAAGTAGGACAGGGATGAGGAAGAATTTCTTCACCCCGAGGGTTGGGAACCTCTGGGATTCACTTCCACAGAGGGCTGAGAAGTTCAGTCTTTTTCTTTATTGTTTCACAAAATGTGGGCATCTCAGGCATGGTCAACTGTTGATGCCCACCCTTTATTACGCTTGAACAGAATGGCTTGTGCTTGTGTTGGTCAGGAGTCACATGCAGGCCAGGCCAAGTAAAGTTGGCCGATTTCCTGCCCTAAAGGACAGCAATTAACCAGACAGGTTTTTAAGACCACTGATGCTAGTTATATGGCATTATTACTGAGACCAGCTGTTTTCTTCAGGAATTATAGTCAAATTCCATCTGCTGCCGTGATAGGATGTGAACCCATGTCCTCTGAGTATTAGCTCGGGCCTCTGGATTCAAAGTTTAGTGACGTGACTACGTCACCGTCTACCCCACTGACAATCTACCAGATACGGATTGTCCAACTTCTGGATACCAAGGGATGCAGGGATCACATGGGGGAAAATAACATGGAGATAGATGATAGAAACAGAAACTGGAAGCAGACCATTCAGCCCTTCAAGCCTGCTCTGCTTTTCAACATTATTATGGCTGACCATCTATCTTAATTCCATATTCCTGCTTCCTCCCCTCCATCCTTGGCACCTTTAAAATCTAAAAATTCATCTTTTTTTTAAATATACTCAGTGACTTGGCCTCTAATATCCTCTCAGTGAAGCAATGTTTCCTCGTCTCAGTCCGAAATCATAGAATCCCTACAGTATGGAAACAGGCCATTCGGCCCGATGAGTCTACACCGATCTTCTGAAGAGTATCCCACCCAGACCTAAACCCCAGCCCCCATCCTATCACTACAGTCCTGCATTTCTCATGGCTAACCCACCCAGCCTGCAAATCCCTGGACACTATGGGCAATTTAGCATGGCCACTCCAAATAACCTGCACATCTTTGGACTGTGGGAAGAAACCGGGGCATCCGGAGGAAACCCATGCAGACACAGGGTAGACACAGACTGTTGCCGACGGTGGAATCGAACCCAGGTCCCAGCACTGTGAGGCAGCAATGAATCACCGTGCTGCCCGTGGTCCACCCCATATCCTGCAACTATGACCCCTGGTTCTAAACTCCCCAACCAGGGAAAACAACCTCCCTGCATCAAGTCTGCCTCGCCTTGTTATAATTTGACATGTTTCAAATCAGATTCTCTCTCGTGCTTCTGAACTCTGACAAATATAGACCTATTCCAACCAATCTCTCTTTCTTTATTCATTTACAGGATGAGGACGTCGCTGGCTAGGCAGTATTTATTGTCCATCCCTAATTGCCCAGAGGGCAGTTGAGTGTCAACCACATTGCTGTGGGTCAGGAGTCACATGTAGTCCAGACCAGGTAAGGATGGCAGTTTCCTTCCCTAAAGGGCATTAGTGAACCAGATGGGTTTTTTCAACAATCTGGAATGGATTCATGGTCATTATTAGATTCTTAATTCCAGATATTTATTGAATTCAAATTCCACCATATGCCATGGTGGGATTCAAACTCAGACCCCAGAATGTTATCTGGGTCTCTGGATTAACAGTCCAGCGATAATACCGCTACGCCATCACCTCTCTTCATAGGAAAGTCCTGCCATTCCAGCTATCAGCTTGGTACACCTCCTCTGCGCTCACTCTATGACAAGTATATTCTTTCTCAAGCAGGGAGACCAAAACTGCACACAATACTCCAGTTGTGGTCTCACCCAGGCCCTGTATAACTGCAGTGAGACATTCCTACTTCGTCAGCCAAGAACTAGAATGATGGAGGAGGCTCGACGGGCTGAGTGGCCTACTCCTGCCCCTATTTCCTATTTCACACCCATATACAAAATCAGCATGAACCAATAGTGTTTCCAATTCTACATTCCCCTGCTCCCTGATGGGGCCTCTGCACTGAGGCGATGGATCCAAATCAGGATTCTGCTCTTGTGTTGGAGGCACATTGCTTGATTTCACTGTGAGTCATGACAAAATCATAGAATCCTTACAGTGGAGAACCAGGTCATTCAGCCCATCGAGGCCATACTGACCCTCTGAAGAACATCCCACCCAGACTCATTCCCCTATCCTATCCCTGTAGCCTTGCATTTCCCATGGCCAATCCACCTATCCCCAGACACTATGGGCAATTTAGCACAGCCAATCCACCTAAACTGCACATCTTTGGACTGTGGGATAGAACCGCAGCACCTGGAGGGAACTCACGCAGACACAGGAAGAATGTCTGTGTAGAATTCGCAGTCGCCTGAGGGTGGAATCCAAACTGGAGACCCTCGTACTGTGAGGCAGCAGTGCTAACCACTGAGCCACCATGCAGCCCACAGTGTAGAAGTCCTGTAAGGATTATACCACAACAGTAACCATTGATTACACATTTGGTCTTACCCTCATTGACCAGTGCCAGTTGCCAGATAGTTTCATTACGCCAGATCCAAGGATGTAACCCAGACCACTGCAACAGAACAAATAAAACAGTTTCACTCTGTAATATCTCAACACTTCAATTTAGCAAAGTTCATTCTGTCCAACAACCCCTTTGACCGCCTCACCTCGGAATTCTGCCACGTTCCTCCTCCCAGCGTAAATCAGTTGTTTCAATGGCAGAAAGCTGGACTCCATCTGAAGCTGAACTCATTAACAAACACATGTCTTTTTATTTGACTGTTTACACCCCTCTTGGTCAATGACGCCAGTCATGCTCACCATCACCATTACCCCCACAGTCTCCGAAAGTCACCAACTGTGGAGAACATTCACCAACCAATGCAGCCAATTCTAATTAAAGGAGTCAAACATATCTCATTGTAGAGTGGCCACTGCTTGTAGGAAATAGATTCACAGTCCTACATATCCACCAAGGTCCTGGGACTTCGACAGAGGACAAGTGATGCCTACATTTGTACCTGAGGGGTGACCTTCATAGACGATTATAAAATCATTGGTGGTGGGGGGAGGGGAGGAGGTGCGGTGCATGGATAGCGTGAATAGCCAAGATCTTTTCTTCAGGGTAGGGGAGTCCAAAACTAGACAGCATAAGTTTAAGGCGAGAGAGGAAAGATTTAAAAAACGGACTCGAGGCGCAACTTTTTCATGTCACGTAGAGGGTGGTGAGTGTAGTGAACAAGCTGCCACAGGAAGTAGTAGAGGCATGTACAATGGCAACATTTAAAAGACATTTGGACATGGACATGGATAGGAAAGGTTTAAGAGGGATATGGGCCAAATGCAGGCAAATGGGAACAGTTCAGTTTAGGAAACCTGGCCAGCATGGACAAATTGGGCCAAAGGGCCTGTTTCCATGCTGTACGACCTTTTTTGGTTGACGTCAATTTATGGAATGAGTTGTAGCCACTTGCTTTGTTGAAAATTAAAAACTATGAAAACTGTGATAAAGACATTCATTCATTTGTAAACAAAAACAGAAATTTTTGCTTCTGCTTCAGATACCCAGGATCTGCAGTTCTTTATTTTCCCTTTGTATGCAAATCCTTCCATCTGCTTATTTTGTTTAAATCTGTCAAATGTTTGAGATGGAGAAAAGCATTTGGATTGCATGAAGCGATTTTCTATTTGACCAGGGCTCAATACTGAGTTGACGTCCAATGGAGAAATTTATACTCACTGGTTGGGATTGTCCCCATTGTAAAAGAGATTGAGACTCTAACATCTTGGTGACAGCCCCATTGTCAGATATTTGTCCAAAGATAAAAGCTGTGAGGAACCTAATGAGAAACCAACTCAGCTACTCTTCCCCATCGAAACAGCTGAAGAATTTGAGATAGGACCTGGCCTTGAGCAGGACACAACAGACAACATTGCATTGTGTTTCCAGTCTCGTCATTGATGATAAATTGTTTTGTTTTAAGATGGTCAGTGTTATACCACCAAAAACACAATTTGTTATTTTGCTGGTGTTGACTCCTCTAAGGTCATAAAGAGGAATTATGAAGAAAATGCAGATGGAGTCCCATCAAACTTCACTCTCCTTTGGTCACAGAACTTGCAAGTTGTGAAGCTGATTACATCAGATAGATAGCACAAAAACAGGCTATTCAGCCCACCAGCTCATGCTGAATGCTCCACTCAAGCCTCCTTCCCATGTTTTAAATTTGCCATTGAGGGTTGGTCTACTTTCATCTTCGATAGGTCTGTACCGTTCACTTAAACTGTGGTAGAGTTCCACATTCTGACCATTCTTTGGCCCTCCTGGGTAAGTACCTTAGAATTATAGAATCCCGACAGCGTGGAAGCAGGCTGGAGCTCATCAAGTCCACACCAACCCTCTGAAGAGCATCCCACCCAGACTTACCCCCCTGTGACCCTGCATTTCCCATGCCCAATCCACCAAACCTGCACATCTTTGCACTGTGGGAGGAAACCGGAGCGCCCGGAGGAAACCCACGCAGACACAGGGAGAATGTGCAAACTCCGCACAGACAGTCACCCAAGATTGGAATCGAACCCAAGTTCCTGGCACTATGAAGCAGCTTTGTTAACCACTGAGCCACTGTGCTGCCCTTATTTTGATTACCTCTGGTGATGGTTTCTCTCATCACTTTAGAAGGTGTATCAGAAACACTCAACAATGTAGATTATTTTGAATTTGTAGATCTGTAGTGTAGAATGGTTGGGCATGTGGGGAGGGGTGAGCCCAGTCACTCCTCCCATTTAAAATCATGATGTTAGTATTGCCTTGTGAAGGTGTGGGTGGTTGGATCGGAGCTTCCGGTTTCCAGTTGTCCAAGTGGTGAGCCAGGCTGGTGCTATGTTACCCATCCCCATCATTCCTGGTGGACACTCCAGTTGGCACAGACACCCGTCGACATCAGTCCCACTGGTGAAAGAGTTCCACACCACCTCTGGTTACTCTGCCTAATTAAGGAACGCAGTGATGCTGTGAGAACCTTCCAGAAGGTTCTACGGCTCGAGCTGTTGGAGTCTAAGCCAAGTTGTTTTGCTTTGTTCTATTCCCAAAGAGACCACAGACACACAGAAAATAGGAGCAGGAGTAGGCCATTCAGCATTTGGGGCCTGCTCCATTAGGATCACGGCTGATCCAGCATCTCAGTGTCGTGGTACTGCTTTCTCCCCCCTACCCGTTAGCCCTAAGAACTATCTCTAACTCCTTCTTGAAAGTATTCAATGTCTTAGCTTCAACTGCTTTCTGTGGCAGTGAATTCCACAGGATCCCCACTCTCTGGGTGAAAACATTTCTCCTCATCTCAGTGCTAAATGGCCAACCCCGTATTCTTAATCTGTGACCTCTTTTTTTTGTACTCCCCGGTCATTGGGAACATCTTTCCTATGTTTGTCCTGTTTAGTCCTGTTAGAATTTTATAGGTTTTGACTGAGACATCTTGACATTATTAAAATTATTATAATATACTCAGGAAAATCCATCATGAGCACACTTACCTTCCCACTGGGATGGCAATGTCGAAGATGGAGATCATCAAGGTCCTTGCATCGTCCACAAAGAGGTCAGCAATGATGGTGGGGGCAATGGTTGAGTAACTGGCCTCGCCAACACCAACTAAGGCTCAGCAAAAGACCAGCACCCAGAAATACTAAAGGAGAAAAATCGTTGAGAAGTGATGGTCGGTCAGTGGAAGTTAAAGTCACAGTAACAAACTTCATTCAGCAAGGCCCGTTTGTTGTGGGTGAAGATACTGCCCCTTACTCCTCCGAACTCCCACAGCCCGGTCCACACAATGATGTGAAATGAATCAGGTATTTCCAACAGGCAGCAACTCTCACAGCCAAGCTACACACAAACCGATATTAATCTGGGAATGAATGCATGTGGCCAATAATCAAAGTGAGACAGGATGTGGTAGAAAATGGAGGAAGAATAGTTCAGCTGAAGTTAAAACCAGAGTAAGAATAAAGTCACTACAGTCCTACCAGACCACAGGACTGCTCTCTTACTGAAGAGACGACATGGTGATGGTTTAGCCTGAGGGTCACCATGCCTCGGGCGAGGGGAGAGGTCGAGGGGAACTCGGCCAGTGTCGAAATTAAATCTACACTGTGAGCGTCACTCTGCATCGCAAACCTGTGCTAACTGACCCGAACTAAGTAATAAAATGGTTAAAAAGTCAAAGCTTAAGGCTTTTTATCTGAAAGCACACAGCATTTGTTACAAGACAAAGGAGTTGAAGGTACAAACAGAAATAAATGAATATAACTTGACAGCTATTACAGAGACATGGGTGCAAGGTGACTAAGTCTAGGAACTCAGTATTCGACAGCATTCAATGCTACAGAAGATTAGGCAAAAGAAAAAAGGTAAGGAGCTTTGTTAACAATGGGTGTGGGTAGTGATATAGATGCATGATGTGGAATCAGTTTGGTTGAAGTAAGGAATGGCAAGGGAAGAAAGTCATGGGTCAGAATGGTTCGACAGATTCCAAATAGATACCTCACTGTAGGACAGAGTATAAATTTGAAATTAATGGAAGTGTGTCCAAAAGGGCATTATAATTGTTAGCGGGTGATTATAATCCGAATATTGGCTGGACAAATCGGATGAGTGAGGGTGACATGGAAGACAAATTTGTAGAATGCATCAAAAACTGTTTTTCAAAACAGTACATTGCAGTACCTGCATGGCTAGTAACATGACAAATATATATCTCACTCCATCTCAAAGATAACAGATAAGCAAGATGTCAGTGGGAGGAAAGATCTTGCAACAGTTTCTCTTATGAGAGACAAGGTATTTGATAAACTGATGGGACAAAAGGCAGAGAAGTCTCCAGGAAATGACAACGTGTAACCAAGTGTTTAAAAGGAAGTGGCTGCAGAGAGAGTGCAGGGATTGGTCAAAATATTCCAGAACATACTGGATTCTGGGAGTGTTCCAGCAGATTGGAAAACCAATAAAGTGACACCCTGTTATAGAAGGGAGGGAGGTAGAAAGCAGGAAACTATTGGCCTGTTTATCTAACATCTGTCATCCATCACAGTGGCTCAGTGGTTAGCATTGCTGCCTCACAACACCACAGTTACAGGTTCAATTCCACGCTCAGTTAATTGTCTGTGTGGCGTTTACACATTTCTTCCTGTGTCTGTGTGGATTTCCTCCAAGTGTTCCAGTTTCCTGCCATAGTCTGCAGGTTAGGTGGATTGGCTGTGCTCAATTACCCCATAGTGTGCAGGCTAGGTGGGTTAAACATGGGAAATGCAGGGATAGGGGGAGGGGGCATGTTGAGGCTGAGTGGGATGATCTTGAGAGGGTCAGTGTGGACTTGATGGGCGGAATGGCCTGCTTCCACACGAAGGATTTTATGATCATTGGGGAATATGCTGGAGCCCATTAATAAAGAAGGAAATAGCAGGACATTTTAAAAAGCTTCACACAATCAAACAGCAAAGTTCCGTGAAATGGAAATTTGCCAAGAGATCTTTGAGGATATAACAAGCAAGAGTTGATAAAGGGGAACCAGTAGA